TGCCCTTCCAGCCGCAACCCATCTCTGGGAAACATCCACACACACATTCACACACTAGAGACAATTTAGCCTACCCAATTCACCTGTACCACATGTCTTTGGACTGTGGGGGAAACCGGAGCACCCGGAGGAAACCCACGCGAAGACAGGGAGAACATGCAAACTCCACACAGAAACGCAGACTAAGCCGAGGTTCAAACCAGTGACCTTCTTGCTGTGAGGCGACAGCACTACCTACTGCGCCACTGCCTCGCCAGCAGCAAAAATACCTCAAGTAAAAGTTTCAAAAAAGGCAGCAGCTGATTCTGGGGTATCAAAAACACGTATTTGGCTGTTGTGTAGTCAGTGAAGCCGTGCAGAGCAAGCAAAGCCACGATACATATTTTGCCGTGCCAACATTTTCCCCACTGAATCAAATTCACAACGTTTGTGCAGGACCTCCGCCGAAAGGTCAGAATAAAACCTTAACTTGGATTCATGGTAGACGATGTTGTGCTTCTTTAAAGCTGCCCTGAGAACCGCTTCTTTCTGAGAGAATCTTAGAAAACGCACTAGAAAACTTCTTGGTGGCTTGTTCGCGTCCGGGATAAGGACCAGCACGCGATGGGTGCGTTCAATCTCCAATGGACGAAAGTCAGCAGGTAAGTCGACTAAAGTTGGAATAGAAGTTTGTAGAAAGTCCACAAGAGAAGTGGAACCTTCCGCTCTCTCTGGGAGATTGACGATCTTTAAATTCTTCCGACATCCGCGGTTCTCCCGGTCGTGAACCTTCAGCTGTAGCATATCTGCTTTTTTTTGCATAGCTGATATAGTTATTGCGATTGTCCGCAATAGTTGAAATCTGAGATTCAGCTTCATCCATTCTCCCTTCTAATTCTGTAGCTCGATTGGATTAGGCTTGGACCAATATACGATTCTAATGGGATGAGAACCTTGGATAAAAATATCATGGTTTCATGGTATTAGTGTATTTGTAATTACTGCTATAAAATATATTATTTTTACATGTGTGTATAAATAACAGATCATTTTCTCCCTTTGAAAACAATATATTTTATTTTTTGAAAAACTTAAAGTGTTTTGGAGAAGTAAACATGTCAGGCTAAATAATTCAAATGAATCATTGACAACTGCTCTCTTCATTAGTATCAAAAACACTGATTTCTGTACAATTTAAAACAGCATCTTGGTTATCTTTGGTTATCTTTTCTGCTGGAGATCTGCTGTTGTTCTAAAACAAAAACCAAAAAAATATAAATAAAGAATCTTACACACACCTTAGGAACGGTATTACAGAAAATGTTGGCGGTTTTAAAACCTTGACTTTTTCCAAACCGCGATATACCTTGAAAACGGTTATCGTCCCTTGCCTAGATTGGATAAATTGAAAAGAGAACGCTCAACTGACTTGATAGATGTTTCAATGTCATCCAAAGTGCTGTCTATCATATTCAAAGAGCTCCAACAGATTCATCCATGTTATTATTTCAATTAAAATCTGATCCATGGTTGTCATGCGGACAATCTCCTGGCTGTCAGTTTCACCTTGTTGATCATCAGTGGAGCACGCGGTTGGCCGAGCCGTCACTTTCTTTTTCCCAGTGGACAAGCCGGACGACGAAAATATAGGAAAATCTTTTTTGCGAGAAGGTTTAGGCACACATATTATATGATTTAACTCATAACTGACGTTTGCTATGAGAAAATAATACGCTTTTAATCGTGGTTTGGCAGAGAGCGAAGTTTCGAGCGTCCATCTTGCTCCGGGTCACGTGATCACCCCCATCATACTTTTTGTAATAGTTTTTTAGATATTGCTATAAATGCAGACTACTGAAAACGTATAAATGTATATGGATGTATAAATCATTCATTCATTCATTCATCTTCTGCCACTTTTTGTTGGTGCAGCAGTCTTAGGAGATAATACCAGACTTCCCTCTCCCCAGACACTTCCTCCAGCTCCTCCGGGGAGATCCCGAGGAGGCCTTCCCAGGGCAGCCGAGAGAAATAGTCCCTCCAGCGTGTCCTGGGTCTTCCCTGAGGCCTCCTTCCGGTGGGACATGCCTGGAACACCTCCCTAGGTAGGCTTCCAGGAGGCATCCGAAACAGATGCCCGAGCCACCTCAGCTGACTTCCCTCCCTGTGGAGAAGCAGCGGCTCTACTCCGAGCTCCTCCCGGGTGTCAGAGCTTCTCACCCTATCCATGAGAGTGCGCCCTGCCACCCTTCGAAGGAAACTCATTTTGGCCACTTGTATCCAAGATCTTGTTCTTCGGTCATGACCCAAAGCTCATGACCATAGATGAGAGTAGGAACGTGGATTGATCAGTAAATCGAGAGCTTTGCCAATCGGCTCAGCGCCTTCTTCACCACAACGGACCGGTACACCGACCGCATTACTGCTGCCGCTGCACCAATCCGCCTGTCAATTTCCTGTTCCATCCTTCCCTCACTCGTGAACAAAACCCCGAGATACTTAAACTCCTCCACCTGGGGTAAGGACTTTCCTCCAACCTGAAGATGGCAAACCACCTTTTTGAGCTGGTGGATGTATAAATCAACTGCATTGAATAATTAAATTACAAATAATGCATGAAACTGTGGAAAATAGAATAGAACTGTGGGAAGGCACAGCTCTCGCCTGGGTTCCAAAAGCAATTCAACTGCACTTAAGGTTCTCAAGAGCACAGTCGCCTCCATAATCATTAAATGGAAGATGTTTGTGATGACCAGAGCCTTTCTTACAGCTGGCCGTCTGGCCAAACTCAGCTATTAGGGAGAAGAGCTGTGGTGAGAGAGGTAAAGAAGAACCCAAAGATCACTGTGGCTGAGCTCCAGAGATGCAGTCAGGAGATGGGAGAAATTGTAGAAAGTCAACCATCACTACAGCCCTCCGCCAGTCATGGCTTTATGGCAAAGTGGCCCGGCGTAAGCCTCTCCTCAATGCAAGACACATTAAAAGCCCACATAGAGTTTGCTAAAATGGTGAGAAATAAGATTATCTGGTCTGATAAGACCAAAATATAAGTTTTTGACCTTAATTCTAAGCGGTATGTGTGGAGAAAACCAGGCACTGCTCATTACTTGTCCAATACAGTCCCAACAATGAAGCATGGTGGTGGCAGCATCTTGCATTCCAACAAGACAATGACCCCATGCACACAGCTAACATAACGAATGACTGGCTTCACAACATTTCTGAGACTTCTTGAATGGCCTAGCCAGAGCCCTGACTTAAACCCAAGTAAGTGTCTCTGGAGAGACCTAAAAATGGCTGTTCACCAACATTTACCATCCAACCTGACCAAACTGACGAGGATCTGCATGGAGGAATGGCGGAGGATGCCCAAATCCAGGTGTGAAAAACTTGTTGCTTCTTTCTCAAAAAGACTCAAGGCTGTATTAGAATAAAAGCGTAAAAGGGTGCTTCTACTGAGCAAAGGGTCTAAATACATAGGACCATGTGATATTTCCGTTTTTCTTTTTTGAATAAATCTGCAATATAACCAAGAGTGAAAAATTTAAGGGGGTCTGAATACTTTCCGTACCCACGGTGTGTTTTTCTATTTAACCAAATACATACAGATTTAACAGTAGTGAATGAAATATATTTTTAATCAGACATGTATTTTATTACTATAATATGGTATAGATATTGTATAGTCAAATTAGCTCTTATTAAAAAAAAACTTTTCCTAAAATATAACATCATATTTAAACGACAGCTTCTTCAAGACTTTATTTAGCACTGAAATGAACAAAAGTAAGAGCCGCATTTGCATATTATATCATCTAATTTACATCTTGGTTCCTGCCAGCTGATGTCAGCGCGTGTTGTTTACTTCATTGTTGTGACGCTGGCACCAGCACTTGTTGTGAGTGTTTTAGTGAATTCTGCTGATTTTTGTACCTCCGTCATGGTTAGCAGAGCTGCAGGGCTTCCCAATGTGATTAGCTTCAAATTGGCTCTGAATCGCGGCATGGAGAAAGTGATTTGCTGCTGCGTTTGAAGTTGGCGGCGGTTTTTTCGGGAGCCTTTGAGTGTCTGTTTGAACTGAGTTTGACCCGTCCGGTCCCAGCGTTCAGTGTTTGTGTGGCGTTTGATGAAAACTTCACATTAGCCTTTGATGAAAACAGACTTCTCCTTTGTAGTGGACGCTCCGTCTGGACCCGCGGACAGCAGACACTGATAAAGCCAGTGAAAATACAGTCTGGCTGCATTTGTTCTCATTCTGAATCTTTATGAGTGTCTATAAGTGGCGGGAAATGTTCAGCTTTTGTATGTGTGATTTCATTAGAACTGAAACATGACTATAAGGCGGGTCTTGTTGAGTAGCTCCTCCCCTCTTTAACAACAGCCTTAAAGAGATAGTTCACCCCACATTTTAAATTCGCTCAGTATTGCTTTCTTCTCTAGAAGCACAAAACAAGATATTTTGAAGAATACTGAAAACCTGTAACCATTGACTGTAACCAATGGAATTCCTACAATGAAAGTCAATAGCCCCTTTCACACATACAGACGGAAAGGTTGTATGTGTGAACAGGTCCTTTTTGAAAATACCGGTAAATTCGTTCTGGCTATTTTCCGGAAAGAGAAGTTGTAAGATTACAGGCAATTTGCCGGAATGCTGCGCTGTGTGAATGCAGAAGGAAGATTGCCGTAATAAGCACGTGCACGTCTAGAACGTGCTGACGTGAGACGTCTGCTTTAGCCAATCACAACAGTCAGACGCATTTACGTCCGCGCGGTTTGTGAGAATTAAAGCCTTTGAATATTTTTCCAGACACATTTAGCTGCTAGAAGTTAGTCAGATCACGTTTATATGTTCTTCTTAATGCCAACTGTGTAAATAATCAGCGATGAGATGCTGATGATAAGCCGTTGTTTGTTTACCTTCAAGCTTTGCGTGTGCATGCCTGTGAAACAGCCTGTGAGCGCCTGCACACGGACATATTATGAACATCTCGACATGCGAAAGTGATCCTGCGAAAGTTGTTCACAATATTGTGAAGTTTGTAATTTAGTCAAATGTTTACAAATACAAGCGCAGCCCTTTAAAGCTCATTTGTGGTGAATGATGTCAGAATTTACCGGTATTTTGGAATGGATGTGTGAATGCTCTTTTCCGGAAAATTTCTGTAACGTCCTCGCCTGTGTGAACAGCGCTTTTTTTAATATACCGGTAAAGTCGTTCCGGAAATTTTCCAGATATTTACCGGTATCACTGTGTGAAAGGGGCTAATGGTTACAGGTTTTCAGCATTATAACATAATATAGAACAGTGACTTATTTTAAGTCACAGTTTTTAAACGCTGAATATTTTAAAATACTCTTTAAGCTTTTTATGGTAATTCAAGTTTTGCTAAAGAACAGCAAATAATAAAATATAAATACACTACCAGTCAAAAGTTTGGGTCAGTTTTTTTTTTTTTTCAGAAATTAGTTCTGTTTATCAAGTCAGCATTTATTAAATGTGGAAAAAAATGGTTAAATTGTTAAATATTTATTAACATTTTAAATAACTGCTTTCTTTTTGTATATAGTTTCAAATGAAGTTATTACTCCAGCGTCCAGTCTTTATTACTATTACCATTAATAAAATAAATAACAATAATTATTATTACTATTACTGCGATTTCTGAAGGATTATGTGATTCTGTAGACTGGAGTAATGAAGCTGAAAATTCCTCATTAAAATCTCTGGATTAAAAGATAAAATTTAATAATGGACTACTTATGAGCAGTTATTTTAATGCAATAACATTTTACAATTTTACAGTTTGTACTGCATTTTTTTTAATGAAATAACTGCAGCCTTGGAGAGCAGAAGCTTATTTTAAAACATTTAAAAATCGCACTGACCCCAAACTTTTGACCAGAAGTGTATGATATAATCGAGAAATTATAAAACATTATAAATAAAGTATTATTGAAAGTGTCAATATGTAAAATGTTATGATTTTAAATGCATAATAAATACAAGTGACTTCCAATCAGTTATATATTTCATATTGTTTAAGTTTTAAAGTATCAAAGTTTGTAAAATTTGTTAATGTTTTGCAGAAAAGCAAGCTCAGTGATGATGATGATGATGATGTAATGCCGAAAGAAAGAGAACAACAAGTCCAGCCAACAAGATGACGTAACAACAAAAATTGCCATCAGGTGCTAATGCAGGAAACATTTGACTACTAATATCCTTTTCACCAAATATATGGATCTCTTCTGTTTTCCAGGCATGAGCACAACTCATCCTAACACTAATTACATTTATGATGTTTTCTCCATAAATAGGTGCATCCATTAGCGCTGCGGTGGGTTTATATATAGACGGCTCTGGGTGTCCAGGACCCGTGCAGTGACCCGCACCATCTGCTGCCACACTGAGCCACAAAATGGCGAACTGCAGGGTGGCCACGCAGGTAATCAAGACTGGCGCGTGCCAACAACACGGCCGCACACTAGCCTCAGGACCTTGGTTTGATAAATCTTGAAGACGCACAAATGCGCACACACACATGTTGGTTTTGTTGATTTACAGGGACTCTCCATGGACTTATTATATTTTATACAATACAAACTTGTGTAATTGGTTCCTACACCACCCCTACTCCTAAACCAAACTCTCACAGGTAATCTGTGGCAAGATTTGAATGTGAAAAGAGCTTGTTAAGTATGAGTTGGAATTACAAGGACTCGATGCATGTCCTCATAAACCACCATAATAGTACAATTAGGTCATACCCTTGTCATTATATAAAAAACTGTCCTTGTAAACCACCAAAACCAACCAACACACATACACACACACACAGAGGGTTAGACGTATAAAAGTTAATATTAATGAGGGAATGTAATGAAATCTTGGCTAAAACATTTCTGTGAGGTTTCAGGACAGACTTTTGATTAAAGAAAGATTTTCATTAAATTAAATGAAGGTAATATTAATGCTGTTAAAGTCAGCATGAAATGGAAATTCGTCCTGTTTGTCTAAATACGTGGTATTGATTTATCAATTCATTCATGCCTAATGAATGAATAGTTCATGTTATAGTTAATTTTCAATGCAATGAAACTATAACATTAAGCTTATTTTATATTATTAAGCTTATATTTTAAATATAATTCCACTAAATTCACGTGTGATTTACAAAAAAAGTTTTTTTATTGTATAGTCTTTGTTCAAAACATGCATTTTATTTTATTTTATTTTATTTTATTTTATTTTATTTTATTTTATTTTATTTTATTTTATTTTATTTTTGATGTAAATTACGCCAAAGGAAGAAAAACTACAAATTAAATTTAATTTAATTTAATTTAATTTAATTTAATTTAATTTAATTTAATTTAATTTAATTTAATTTAATTTAATTTAATTTAATTTAATTTAATTTAAAAGTTCAAAAGAAGGAAAACTAGACTAATTTTTTTATTTATTTTTTTTTTATTTTACATCAAATATGCCAAATGCAGGAAAGCTATTTTATTTTATTTTATTTTCAGATGAAAAGACTAAAAAGACTCTTTCTCCTAACAAATATTTTTATTTGAATTATTTAACTTCACAGTACAGCAACAAATAATAATAAAAAACTGCATTTACAGTACAATATTGGTATAATTGATATTTTAAATTTATAATATTACATTTCATTGCATATACATACATACAAATATACACACAAACCAAAACAAACATTCCTTTAAGCAATGATAATACTGAAATAAAAATATTTTCCCAAATGCTGTTTTATGCAGCGTTCACACTAGGCGCAGAACGCGTGTCAAGCGCGAGTGATACACATGTTAAGTCAATGCAAATGCGCGAATGGCTAGAATTGAGCGAATTGAGCGTTTTGCGCGTTTGACTCGAATCACTCGAGTTCGAAAATCTGAACTTCAGCGGACATTCGCGCCGTGTTAACCAATCAGGAGCTTGCTCGTGAGGGGGCGTGATTGTGACGTATTGCCTGTTGTTGGTGTCGGCTGGAGGATTTTCATCAAACTGGGCTTGGCTCAGTCAGAAGCACCGCTGAAAGCCTCTGTCATTCAGGTTCAGTTTCTGGAGGAGTTTATGAGCTCACAGAGCTAGACACACCTCTGAAAGAATGTAGTGGACTCAGACACGACCCTAAATGTATCGACGCTGTTTTTCAGTGTTCATAAAGTACATTGGAAAAGCAATGGTGTCCTATCGCCCCGTAGCGTTCGTTTTAAAGACGAAATTCAGCCATACGTACTTCTGGCTACATAATTCATGATCCCTTTGTATGTAGGGGACAATTTTAGAATGAGCCTGTTTTCAGAATGTTGCTAATACCATATAGATCTTAGCAGTTAAAGATTGTGTCTTCAGCTGTACATGGAAACACAGATACACACACACACACACACACACACACACACACACACACACACACACACACACACACACACACACACACACACACAAATATTTAAAGATCTATTGTGTGAAATATGACCTGGATGTGTTTTTCATTATCCCCTGCTCTGCGACTGTGATGGAAAAGAAACACAATCTGGTGTGTCTTCAAGTTGTGCCGATGGTGTTGACAAGAGACGCTTTTAGAGATGTCGACGTCTGATCACTTCTTCAACTCACAAAAAGCTCACAGTGTTTCTTCTCTGGAACGACTGGTCGCTTGCGATTTTGATTGTTCCTTAATGATGTCCCATTGACAATTTCTGAGGAAGCAAAGCACTGCACTCGACGACAAATGAAATATTCTTGATTTTAATGAGGGGTTTTTGCTTATGAGCTGCGAGACATATGGTTTACACTGATTACAAGCTCATATCTCTCTCTTTCTCTCCCAAAATACCTGCCATGTATACGTAGTGTTTATGTTCTGGCCTGGAAAAGGAACAAGATGAAGATCTTTTTGTTGAACTAAAGCCAGACGGAACTTGAAATAATGATAAGGAAAGCGTATGTGCGGATTCTTGTCTTTTCAATTAGAAAATCGCAAGTTATAAAGGTGTTGTTCGTCTTCTCTGATTCCCAATCAAAGCTTTAATAGCACAAAATAACCACTGAACATATTCATAATGCATATATGAAGCAGCTTTGATATGATCATTATTTTTGGGATGTTAAAATCATTTGATTGGTTTTGTGGACGATTAGGGCAAGGCAAGTTTATTTATATAGCACATTTCATACACAATGGTAATTCAAAGTGCTTTACATGAAAGAAACAAGTAAAAGAACATGAAAACAACAGAATAAATATTATTAAAGACAGATAAAAAGTGATTAAAACATGTTTTAAAGGATTGAAAAAGAAAAGTAGGACATAATAGTGTAATGTGTCGGACGCAGCACAGTGCTCATTCAGTAAAGGCACAGCTAAACAGATGTGTTTTTAGTCTGAATCTGAATGTGCCTAATGTTGGAGCACATCTGATTATTTCTGGAAGCTGATTCCAGCAGTAGGGGGTGCAGTAGCTGAAAGCCGATTCACCCTGCTTTGACTGAACTCTTGGAATTTCTAGTTTATTTGATCCTGAAGATCTGAGTGATGTTAGGTTTGTATTCAGTGAGCATATCTGTAATTTATTGAGGTCCTAGGCCATTTAGTGATTATAGGCCAGTAATAATACTTTAAAATCTATTCTGAATGTAACCGGGAGCCAGAGTAAAGACCTGAGGACAGGTGTGATGTGCTCTGACTTTCCTGGCAGCAGAGTTATGAATGTGCTGCTATCGTCTGACTGCCTTTTTGGCAGTGAGGGGGCCGTTACAGTAGTCCACCCTGCTGCTGATAAAAGCATGAACAAGTTTCTCTAAGTTCTCTATGGAAACAAAGCATCTAATTCTTGCAATGTTTTGAGATGATGGTACAGTAACTACGATTAACTACAATATATAAAAAAAAAAAAAAAAAACGGATGTGAATTGCATTATGGGAGCTTGATCTCTGCTTTGTTGACATTTTATGTTGAAAATTCAGCTCTACAGTTAAACAACGTGGTTTTTATTGACATTTTAGTAGTTTGAAATAATAAAATAAGAAATAATATAGAGAATAAAAGGTCTGTAAACAAATAAAAAAACACTGGCAGTTTATTACAAGGTTTTTGTAGCATAATATACGACACCAACCCAGATAATATATCACTTTAAACTATTAGAAATGATAATAAAAGTCACTTTTTCCAACTTTTCAAGGTTAAAGGTTGTTGAAAGAAAGATCTCATAATGTCTCTATGTCTCATAATACAATTCAAAAGCATAAATAAATTGGGAAAAATACAAAATATAAATCTCAATAGGAAGATATATATATGGAAAACTGCTGATTTACAGATTTTTTCAGAAGTCTGTTAATGATTTTTGTAAATTACACAGTATTTAACTGTAATATGAGTGTTTTACTGTATGACAATTATGCAGTATGTTACTGTATTTTTGTTGCATACTGGGAAATATCCTCTTCAATGTAAAAAAAAAAAAAAAGAGTTGACTCAAGTTAAGTGCAGTGATTGTGTTGAAAGTTGAGTAAACTCAAAAATGTCATGAATTTTGTTGCCTTAATTTTAAGTTGAGTCAATCTTGTTTTTTTTTTTTTTTTAACAGTGTTGGCGCCATTTAAAAGAGTATCTTTAATTTAAAATACTTTAAAATAAAATGAAAATCATCTGAAATACAGTAATTAACCATTTTAACAGTTTTTTAAAGAAAAACAGATAAGTAAACAATACGTTTGTTGAAGCAGTAAGTTTGATTTACAGTAAAATACTGGCAAACTGATAACAGTAATTTACTACAAATTCTACAGGAAATTGTTAACAGTGAAAGTTTTAAGATACATCTTCATGTTTATAGTAGCTTTTTGCCAGTAGCATATTTTGTGTACTGTATGTAAAATGCTGGAAGGCAATAGTAAGATTGTTAAAGGGATAGATTGAAAACAAAACATTTTGAAGAAGTGATAAAAAAATCCAAAGTGTGACAGTTGTCCTTTTTTTGCGGCAGAAACTGGTTTACTAGTAAAAAAAAATACTAATTTGTAAATTAAGTCTGTACATGATATAAAGTGATGCTTGATTTATTTGGATATTTAAAAATCTTTTTCATTTTCGTATCCTTGCAAGGTTTGGGCTCATCAGAAAGTTGGATGAAGAAGCAGAAATCACTCAGAGTCAACTGAATTATCTCCATATGTTTTTTGTCTCCTCAAAAAACAACATAAAGGGTGAGTAAATGATGGCCAATTGTTTGTTATTAGATCTGAACTAACACATTCGCAGCTTTAGATAGAAACATGTCTTGTGTTTGTGGGTGAACAGCTGTAAAGCTCAGATGCAGAACTGCTCTCGTCTCCTCCTGAGGATTAGAAACCAAACTAAAAAGCCAAAGAAAACTTTGCTCAAAAAGAAATCATTTTATGTGCCGGTGTTAATCTGAACACTATCTGTATATTCTAGGGGTAAATGCATAAAAGAGTGTGTTTGAAAGTATGAAATAAATCAGCCTGATTTAGTCACCCATCCTCAATGTTTTGGTGTGTTTTGCGTTTGACAAAAGCACAATAGAATGTTCCTGGCCTTAAAATAGGCATGTGTATGAACGCGCCTCGCAATTCAACACTGCTAAAATTATTGTTCCTTGTCGGAGCTTTGGCCTGGAAAATAGTCTATTATGTAATGATGTTGTTGGAAATATATTTTCTATGACAGAAAGCATATATAAGGAGATTTCTAAGGCCTACAGTACATGTAGAAAAAAGCAATGAATTTTTTTCTAAATATGTTATGTTGTTATTGGAGGCCTCAAAAAGCTAAATATAAATATGAAATCCATGTTTTTGTGAAATGTTGTAAAATTGCAAAGTGAGGCTTTTGTAGAGGAGAAATTAAGCGATTTTACTCACATTTACTCACCATTGCTGGGTGTCCATAAAAACTACTAACCACGCAACAACTATTATCATACAAATCATATTTTCATGTAATAAATAAATAAATAAATAAAAGATGTACAAATTGTGTTTAGAAAATGAAATTAAATTAATAAAAACCTTCAATATGTTTAAGTCTATATCTATAATTAGCTGTATATTCTGACACGCACACACACACATACACACACACTCTCACACTTCAATTATGATTAATGGCATCCTAATTTAAAGTTGGTATCTTCTTAACATGTGTGTTTGTACTGTGCATATTTATTGTGTGTGTTTGTATATGTGTGTATGCATGTATGCATTTATGTGTATATATATATATATATATATATATATATATATATATATATATATATATATATATATTGTCACACACTCTCAGAGATAAAGGTACAGGAGCTGTCGCTGGGGCAGTACATTTTTAAAAGGTACATGTACCTGAAGGGTCCACAACGGTACCTCGAAGGTACTTTTTAGGTACATTTGGGCACTAACATGCACCTTTGAGGTACTGCTGTGGGCTCTTTGGGTACAAATATGTATCTTTTGAAAAGGTATCCCAGTGACAGCTCCTGTACCTCTATTTCTGAGAGTGCGCGCACACACACACACACACACACACACAAAATAATTTACAATATTTTTTTTCCAGCTAGTCACTAAAGAAATATTATGAAATTTGCTAAAAATTAAAACAGAAAATACAACAATAAATCTATTGATAAAACAACATTATTTACTTAATATAATGATTAAGACTGGTTTGATTTAGCTTTTATTTTGTTGTTTGTTATATTTCAATTTCACTATAACTGATATTTAGTCCAGTGTCTTTTTTACTTATCATAAATATATGTTTTAAGTCTTATATGTTTTATATGTCTTTAAATATGTATTAATGTATTTATTTCAGCTTGCATTTCTGCAAATTAGTATACATTTTATATTGAAATTGCTCTCAAAACTACCCCTAGCTTCATTTTTTACAATAAAAATGCTGAGTGAAGAAAATGACCAGAATCATGGAAGCAAAAAAAAAAATCAGGATTTACAGCAGTACTTCTCCTCAAAACAGAACCTCGCCTTATTTAGACTCTTTTCGTTTAGTTGACGATTCAAAACAGCTCAAATGCGTTCACAACCTCTGAACTCTGACCTCGAGAAGCTTCATAGTCCACACTAGCAGTTGACAAACAGAGTAAGAGTGTGGTAAGATGCTCGTCTCTTTGTCTGGTGGAGGCGTGAGTGATTAAGCTTGCGTTAGGAGTCATTATCTGAGTGTTTGCACAGCTCCGTCTGTCCTGAATGGGCCCAGTGGGTAAACACAAACGTAATACAGGATACACTTGCACAAGAGACTCAAGGCCTTTTCACAGTCAAACACACACACACACACACACACAAACACACACACACACACACACACACACACACACACACACACACACACACACACACACACACACACACACACACATACACACACACACACACACACACACACACACACACAC